GAGAGAGAGAGAGAGAGAGAGAGAGAGAGAGAGAGAGAGAGAGAGAGACTGTTCAGTCCTTATACTGCATACAGTCTATCTGCCTAGGCCAGGTGTAGCACTCACTCCCATAATCCCAGAAGCCCTCACACCTACAATCTCAGCATTGGACCATGGACTAGTTACAGAGGCTTTGGGCGACAACTAGACACAAACCATAACACATGACTTCACACTGTCAATTGTCATCATTATTATAACTTCAACTTAATTAGCACTGTATGTTTAAAGAATGTTTAAGGTATTTCCATGGCTTTACTGGCTTTTAGCTGGCCCCTTTCAGGTTGCAACACAGAAATGATTCTGAGGCTCTCATTTGCACATACCAACATGGGAGAATGTATTTTTAATGAGCATCACATCATTTCATTGTGAGCAAGTGTTTCTCCACTGTGTTGATGAAACTATGAGATGTGACCGAAGACTATGATGTATATTTAAGTTGGAAAAATGTGATATTGGCAATACTCACCCTTCAGAAGACTCCCCCTGACTTTGAACATACTTTTGTGATCATTCCTGTCACTTTCTGAAGCAGTTCTGACGTCCTCTTTCATGAGTATCATCAGTTGTGCTGTCGTGGCTTCCTCCATGTCCAAATCAATTCAAAATGCGTAGCTGTCATGGCCATTTGAAATCGCACAGTGCCAGATCCAGCAACTAAGGCAGGCGAGGCTCTGAGTTCAGTCCTCAGCACCACATAAAGTAGAAACAAGAAGAAAAAGAACACATGGTAACGTTTTGCTGAGCCTGCTTTTCTTTGAATGCTTCACAGCAGCGGCAGTTTATCAAATTTGTGGTTGCATCTCCTAAAGACGCTCAGGAAAGAGGACTTGCACAACTTCCAGAGCTGTATCAGGAAATGGCAAGAAAGTGAGAGGGGAGGAGGATCTCGGGAGTGTGCTTCATGGCAGTGTGTCTTTTATTGGGGTAAATGTTTCTAAAATTTAAAAATACACCATACATTTTGACCACCCATTGTAAGGAAGTTCTCTGGAGGGCCACAGAGAGCTTAGTGGAATAAGTGCTTGCCTGGCAAGCTCAAGGTCCTGAGTTCAGTCCCTGGTACCACCAAACAAACAAACAAACAAAAAGAGGCTGTTTAAGGGAAGTTCTCTGGATAAGTTCAGCATTGCCTTAGTGATTTTCTGTTCATTCAGATATTTGTATGAGACTTTCTTATGTGTGAAATTTATATGTTTGCCTTTTCATAGTAATGGGATAATACAATTATTTTTCCAAAAATATTCTAAGATTTTAATCTTACTTAGATTTTCATAAAATTAAAATTAGTTAATGTGCTCTAACTATATTGTGTGAGAAATCTGAATTAAGGAGCCAGAGATTGATGACACTTAAAAGAGAATAAACTGCAAAAGACTGATGGAAAGCTAGAATATTTATGCTTTGTTATTAAGGTTCACAATTTTTGTTAAGATCACTCTCCCTGTCCCATAGTTTTGATAGACACATTAGACTGCCACAGAAAATAATATCATCATCCCAAAGAAACCCCTGGGCTTCACCCCAACCCTTGGCATAACTCCTAATGACCACTGACAGTTCACTGTCTCTACAACTTTGGCTTTTATAAAATGCCACACTGGTTAGATGATAATGTCATACTGGCTTGTATCTCTTAGCATTTTGTATTTAAGATTCCTCCATGTCTTTTCATGACGAGAGTTCATTTCTTTTTATTGCTGAATGATATTTCAGCCGTATCATTGTGACACTATCTGTTCACCTATTGAAGAACATTATGATCAATTCTAGTCTTTGGCGATAATCAATAAGGCTGCCACAAATATTTGTGCACATGTTTTTGGGTAGACATAGGTTTTCATCTCAGTTGGATAAATATCCAGGGGTATGGCTACTAGACTTTGTGGAACTGCCAATTTGTCACCTTTGTATGTATCCATTCTGCAGTGAGCAGTGAGTGACATCTCTTTGTTTTAATTTTCAATTCCCTAATAACATACAATATTAAACATTTTTCTGTGGGCTTGTGTGTCATCTTTGGTGAAGTGTTTGAGTCTTTTGTCCATTTTTAATTGGGTTGTTGTCCTATTATTGAGTTTGAAGAACTCTTTGTATATTTTGAGTTACCACTTCTTTATAAGATCTGTGTTTTCTAAAGATTTTTCTCCTCATCTTTGTCTCCAGTGTTGTATTTACAAAGTTATCACCAAACCACAGTCCATCTAGATTTATTTCTTTCTTTTTGCCAAAAAACTTTAATGTAATAAAATATTACCATCAGTGGGCCACCTTCCAAGTTTCACAAAAATCAGGGATAAAAAATTGTTTGTCTGTGAATAAAATACAGCAATCTCAGTGTGACATTTCCTCTGTAGTTTTGTAGCATATTTTATGTTACAGAAGCGGACCTTCGGTGATAATAATTTTCTCATGAGTTTCTTATGTTCTCTTGTGAGGATTTACCTTTGGGTCTAAGGTATGAGATCCATGTCTACACTCTTCTGTTTCTTTGACTGAGCGCCTGGAGGCTCCATCACCACTTGCGGGAGGCCGTCCTTCTCCACTGAGCTGCCTCTGCTCTGTGGCCAGAGCTCAGCTGCCTGGGTTTGTCCGGGTTTACCGCCAGGCTCTCTGTTGTGTAACGCATCACTTCGACTATTTTCCTTCAGATCCACACTCTCTTGTTTACTATCGCTTTACAATAAATTCCAAAGTCTCTTGATCTTGGGTTGTTTTAAGCATTTTCTCTGTATCTTAGGTTTTGTGCAAATTTTACTATGGTAATTTTGGTGTGGTCAGGTTTTGCTTTCTTTCTACCTTACTCCTCCTTGACAGTTTCTAGCACTTCCCAAATCAGTACTTGAACTTGCTTATCAATTTTCAGCTTTATCTCTTCAAATAGCTTCTGCCACTTACCTCCTCTCTTCTTGGAATGTAAACTATGACTGGTCTCCACACTATGTGTTCTAGCACACATCTCTTTTTTTTTCTTTCAGATATTTTCATCTCTGTATCATTTTGTAGTTCCTTTTAGATATCTTTTTTCTGACTGGTCTTCTAGTCCAGCACTTCTTTTGTTCTTATTCTTCTTTTAAACTCATGCTGATTTCTTAATATTATTGCAATATTTGTTGTAGCACTTCAACTTCTTTCATCTTTCCAACACAGTCCTGGTATTTTCAATCCTACGTGTTGTTCCTTGGCCATGTCAAACACCACTCCCTTTCAAATCCGATGGTGTCAGGCATGGTTTTGAGTGGTCTGCAAGCAAGGTTGGCTTCTGTATTTCTAGAGAGTTATAAAAAAAAAGAGAAAAACAGAAGAAGATACATGACAGGGACTGCACGTGGACCACAAAGCATAACAAATTTGTTCTCCGGCCTTTTACAGAACAAGCTTGCTAATCCCAGATCCTACACTTGATGTAAAAGGCCAGGAAGCGCTGCTACTCCCAGACAGAGGGCCTTTGTAGATCTGTTGCTGTAGTCTCAGTGACAATGTCCTGTCTCCTCCTCTCAGTCTTACCTGGGTTTTGTAATGTCTTACCTCCTCCTCTCAAAACACTTCAGTAGTTTGCTTAGTTATTTTTGAAGTAGCAGAGAGTTAATTTGAGACTAACTTGATACCTTCTCCACAGAAGATTAAATTTGCTTCCAGCAGGCAAATAAAGACACTAAGGGTCTTGGATTATATTTGTACAATGAGATTAAGATGACAAAGGTGAGGTTCACCCTTTCTCTAAACTGTTTTCTGATTCACTTGTATAGTACTTTGATACCTCAAACCAAAGCCTGTGTACTTCCCAAGCACCTCCTCTTGGCATGGCCTGGCCACCAAGTCTGTTG